TTGGTTGGAGACATTGAAGGATATGGCAGCGAACGGACAGCAGTGGCGTTCTTGTTATCGTTTCTTATCACGTCAGAATGCTTGAAACGGTATGTATGCAGAGTTCGATTGCGTACTCTGTGTGCTGAGTACAATTCTGTCCCCCCCAAGTATTTCGAATCCCTGTCCACCTCAGATTTTGCCACTGGTGTTGAATGGATTTTGAGTTAGGCAGCGATCGGCGAATTTCGCTTCATTGTACGAGGGTGATGAAGATATAAAGCATGAACTGAGATATCTAGTCATATAAAGAGTGCTTTAATGAAAATCAGCCTAAAGAACACAGTGTGGAGAATAAGTTTGTTATTCTCAAGTAAAACGGTACTTTGTCATGGCCTGTCACGCACCGTCCACCTTGTTTTTTCAGCTTCCCCTTCACTAACTGCAATATGCTCATTTAGAGGAAATTTCTATTCTCTTTGATTGATCTCATTCTCGTTTGCGTCGGCTCTCTCCGTTCAGCTGGGAGTCAGAAAACCGTGGATGTCGATGCACCCCGGTCCTCTGCCCCGTCAATCGAGGCACGTTCTATGTGTCTTACACAATGCAATCAACCCACCGGGTGGGAATGTGATTCGGATCGGCGTTCTCCGTCACACCATATCTCCCCAAGTTTGAAATCGATCGTGCTCGTTGAGTTACGACATACGTATGATGGGGATTTGGCTCGACTGGCTTATGTGCCATTCTGTCGTCTGGCGGGTAAATATGTCAACATTTGTATATAGGCAATGGGTTGAATGTGCAAATGGTTTTCGTATCCCCTGATATTATTTTTCGTTGTTTTGAAATCGACTTTTTCAACATTTCTGGTAAACTAATCTGGTTGGTCATCGTTATGATTGTTGCCACGCCGGGAATCATGTTTTTCCCTATTTCATGCTGCAGTGTTCCTCAGCTCACTTAGCAAAGTCAACCTTATCGGTTTTTACTAGTTGTTCTCTCACGCGTATTCGGTCCACACATCAGCCAACTAGACCGCTGCAACGCACACTTCACTCTTCAAAAATAACAAAATACCGAGGCCAGCGAAAAGGTGATTTAAGCAGACAAACGACAGTTGAGCCTTTTGTATGCATACCAAAAGTCTTCATCATCCCCGAACAAGATGTAACCGTCTAAATGGTGCACTTTGCCCATTTGTCAACGTGCATCGACTGAAGTAAGTATTCGACCTCCACATATGGTACGCGTGCCACCAGATAAGTTGCCAGAACGAGCGATGTTTGCCGAGGCAGTTGGCCGTTGGAAAAAGGTCAAGGGCGGTCAAATGGAAACCTGGCATGAGGATATAAAACCCTAACCAGGAGACTAGGTCACATAGGCCCCGTTAGGCTCCCTTACTGGGGCCCCCGAGATGATGGTCACCGAGGGTTAGAGACACTGTGTGATATGGCTGGGTGCCTGGTGTTACAAATGAATTGTTTGTGACGAAAATACCCTTCCTGGGTTCCAGTTTATGTATAAACTGATAAAGGATTACCGGATACGCATGCTTGACAAGTGGTAAGAACCGCGAAACTGATCGTGTGCTTCCAGGGAAATTTTTTCCAGTCACACATGCTACCCATTGTAAAATATCTCATAAAGTCGTTTAAGTTTCGTTTTGTACGAGTAGGTGCTACTAATTTCACTGTAAGACGAAACATTTTAATGCCGCCTTCATTGTCTCCTTCATATTGTGAATTTCTATTTTTTTTAAATTTTATATCGAATAACCATCAATTTTTAATTTTGCTGCAGTAAAATTGGCCGTGTAAATCTGAACAGATTGATCTTTTCTGCTTTATTGTAACACAAAATTTGTATCTTATGGATTCAGTCTCACTTCCGTTTGTTATTTCTCCCTCTATCTCATAATAATATTGATTCTAATCTTAACTACTGATAATTGATAAGTGTATAACATTTCACTGCGACCTAAGAAAATCGCCACGCTATTTTTCATTACAGGCGGCTGCTACATTGATAAAAATTTGTACAATACCGAATGGATTCACAGTCTGATTGGGCATAAACCGAATTTTGCTCAGGATGCCCCCGTGAGTAGCAGTCTACCGTCTGCAAACTCTGCATTTACACCACGTGTCATGCGAAATGCTGTAAATATTTGTGATAACCACTCGATGCTCGATTTCAATACGTCCTCTGCAGTTTCCATGTCTTTCGATGACAACGCCCGTGAGAAATTGAACCTGGTAAGTCATAATCTAGGTCATTTTTTCTTCAACCTCATTTCGAGCTTCTACATTACTATAAGGTGAAAACATCGTAAAATAACACACTAGGGACAAAGAGCAGGCGGGGAATGGTGATTGGATGACTGACGAATCCGGTTGGTTACTTGGCGGAACTGACCGTTTTACCGTCTTATTCTGAGATCACCTGACACATGATGCGGCTAGAGTAGCCTTATTTTGGTTGACCAAATCGAGTTGGTGGCGGATTCGGCTGATACCTGCCTCTGTTGTGCACAGCGTCACCAGTCTTTTATTGTCCACTGTAAGTTGAACGAAAATGCAACTTGGTCAGTGCATCGCATTACCCCATTCGAGTCTGCGAATAAGCATCCCGAAGTGCTGGAACTCAGTTCAGTTTCATTTTTTACAACCATTAGGCATGCACTTTCGGGCGCCGGTTTTGGTTGGCTTCTTTTGGTTCCGCATTTCGATACAATAGCAGAATGAAGACCGGAATGTTCAGAGCAAATTCTAGCAGAAGATAAGGATTTCATACAGAGCGACGTTGGGAGGATAATGAGTGGATTTAGGGCAGTGTCAAAGTTTGGAGCGGCCAACTGAGTCGAAAACCCATTTCAGATCGAGGAAGAT